TTGGGGTTTAGGGTTTAGGGTAACCATCGTACCTACTTTGTGCTGTTTTATGGTCTCAAAGGATGTGAAACCGCTAAACCCTGAACATTAAATCCGAAATCTGTATCAAAAAAACTTGTACCCCGAACCTAACAACCTAAAACCCTAAACTCTAAACCCCTAAACCCTAAAACCGTGAACCCTAATCCTAAAGCTCTAAGCCCTAAACCCTAAAACCCCAAACGCCAAACCCAAACCCTAAACCCCAAAGGTGAGTCGAAGGGATCGACTCGACCACGATGGGCGGAGCCCTCTCATGGCAGCCGTCTCCAATGGTCAGGTCGAGGTGCGGCTTTAGGGTTTACGGGTTTAGCGCTTTAGGGGTTCAGTGTTTAGGGTTTAGGGTTCAGGGCCTAGGGCTTTAGGAGTTTAGGGTTTGGGGGTTTGTTGAGGGGAGTCCCTGGTATTAAGAGAGCCCTTAAGTGGTCTTTTTATAGGGTTCTTCTAAGGGTTCCGATGGCGTCTACAAGGGTACTGGTTCTGGGGTTTAGGACGTCCGGTTTAAGGTTCAGGATTTACGGCGCAGAGTTGCCCAGAGAGCCCATCGCCCCGTGGTTGCGGAATATGTCTTGAACTGTAAGATTAAGACACCAATACTTAAGTCAAGTTGTATTCCTGAATCAGGAATGTACGCTAAACCATAGCACCCAGGCCCTTTAGCTTAGAACTTAAGGTAGATTCCTGAATAAAGGAATCTACGTTAAACCATGACATTCAGCCCCTTGAACTTAAGGTATAATATAGAAGCCTGAAAAAAATACCGATATTTCTCCTGAAGGTTCCTTATTATAACTATACTATAAAAAAGCCCAAAACCTTGTTCTAATTATGAAGGCCCCGACATTGTAATCCCAAAAAGGGAACACTAAACCCTAAACCCTAAACCCTAAACCCCTAAACCCCTAAACCCTAAACCCTATTCCTGAATGGAGGGGTCCTGGGCTCTCTGGAGATGTGGCGATCCATGTGCGAAGACCCTAGGATCAAGGTAATGCAAAGGAACCCATGTACTGTTATGCGGGATACTTCCCACATTAGGAATTCCTAATATAATATAGAAGCCCTGCATTCTACTATACAGGTACATAGGCCCCTTTGGTTATGGGGTTTTAGGGTTTTCCGGCGGTTTGCCGTTTGAGGTCGTCGTGCAGGTTTGGGGTTAAGCAGATAAGGGGGCACTGCAGACTGATGCATACTGTAAGCTGTTGGAGAAACGGGTTTAGGGTTTAAGGTTTATAGGGTTTAGGGTTTAACCCAATACCCCCTCAACCCTAAACCCTAAGTCTAAACCCCTCACGCGCCGCCTGCCAGGCAGTACGATGCCTTGTGCAGATGGGCGCCGACCGGAACAGGCCAGATGGATGCCTTTACGAACTTCGTGATCGGGCTTATGGATTTTTCAATAGTGGGTTCGGACCGATTATATATATATATATAAGCTCATATATATATATATGAGTACCAGTACCCTTTATACTATAGGGGTCTGAAAAAAGTGCTTATAGCCCATGATACTACTGCCTCCTTATACTATTCGGGGAGAAGGGTGGTTAGGTAAAGGGTGGTTAGCGCTTAGGAGTCTGAATAATTAGCATCAGTACCCCCTTATAATTCCTACAATGGAGTGTACTACAGGGGTGAATCCTTAGTATTACGTAGTACCGCCATGCAGTTCCCACATTAGGGGTTCAGAGCTGCTGGGATGCACCCTCCACAATACCTCTGATTAGGGTTGTGGCTTGGGGCATCCGGCTTTGGGGGATAGCCCTGCTGATGGAGTTGTACTATCATTGATACCAGCTTCATGCATAAACCATAAAACCCTAACTCATAAACCCTCAACCCTTAATCTATATAACCTGATTTCAGGAGACATCGCAAGTGGGTTTTGAGTAGAGTGATAGTTAAGACATCCCGGGTTCAGGGTTTAGGGTTTACATAGACCCCCAACTACCTTCTAATACACCCTAAATACCCACATTGAAGGACCATAAGGGCTCTATTAAAGGGCCCCTTGGGGGGGTCCTGGTAGGGGGCCGCTGTCTCAGCCCCTCAGCATCCTCCCGGCCTGTCCTTGTACTAAAGTGGCCAGATTCCTCAGTAGAGGTAATACAGGGGCATACTAAAATGGGCCCCAAAACCCTATTGTAATTACTAAGGCCCATGCTGTAGAGAAGCCCCGTAGTTGTTTTTTCAGGTTGAACTTCGGGATTTCGTAAGATTCGATATAGAGGTTTTGCTGGTTAGAACACGGCTTTAGGGATATATGGACGTAAAAAAACATGAAGAGACTATATACCACGCTTCGCTTGCCCATTACCCGGACCGCTGCCTACAATCCCCAACCCCCCAATCCACAGCTCCAGGAGGGCCCATACACACTAGATTTAGGGTTTAGGGTTTAGGGTTTGGGGTTTAGGGTACTCTTTGGGAAGTATGTCCCACCGAAACCATGATTAGAATGGCTTTTTGAAGCCCTGAGCCCTAACCCGGCCCCCCCGAAGCCCAAGAAAAGCTTCTAGAACCGCCGTAAAGACCCTTACCCAAAGGCTCCGTGTACCCATATAGTATATACTTAGGCCTTAAAGGGGCTCCTATATAGGTACTTCAAGGCCTACGCATATACTTTTTTGGCAAATGGCGCCTGAGGGAAAAGGAGCCGTTGCAGTTCTCAACCCGAAGCTCTGAACCTATACTTTACAGGCTCGAACTCTATGTCATACGTAATGTACACTTCCTGTAACAACCAACCCTCGGCCGCGGCACTTCCGGATACAGAATGCCAGTATACCAAAGACTTGTATGTGCTTTGTCGCTGCTCAACTGTACGCCTAAAACCTTCAACCCAAACCCCTGTAAGATGCTACAAGTGAACTTGTCCTAGCCTGTACAATACCCTTAAGCCTTAGATGCTAAATCCTAAAACCCTGAGACTAGTTCCCTTAACCCTAAAGCCACAACGCCCTAAATCAAGGCATCATTATAAGCCCTGTAAGCCTGTAATATGGGGGTCTAAAGAATTACCTGTACTATTTTGGGAGGGTTCCTTACTATGATTATACCATAATGTGCCCCCCAAACCCTATTCTAACGATTAACGCCCCTACAGTAAGCTTCATAGCGTGTGGCCGTCACGTGCACCCCTAGAACTTCGCCTGATGAGGCCCGACAGCGGCGGTCGTACACCGATCCTCGAGGACCCGAAGAGTTAAACTTTAAGGGGTACTATACGGGCCTTAATAATTGGAATAGGGTTTGGGGTACATTTTACTAGATTTAAAGTAAGGAACCCCAAAACCCTATTCTAATTTTTAAGGCCCCTATATTACGATGAGGGTTCCTTGGATCACTATAAGACTGTGTAGCGGCTGATACAGGTTCTGATGCAGGGTGCTCCTTTAGGATTTTCAGTTCGGGGTCCATAATAATAGTAATTATGTATGGACCCTCTTCCCAAACCTAAACCCTAAACCCTAAACCCCAAACGTATGCCTGCTACAGGTGGGCCTCGACTTCCTGCGAGAAAGGGGCCATTTGCATTCTAACAAAAGAAACCCCAAACCCTAAACTCCTAAACCCTAAGCCCTCATAGGGTGTCGGGTTTAGGATTTGGCGTTCTCAAACTGAACTTCTGGGCTCGGAAGCCGAAGCCTTGGCGTCAGATGTCTTTGTGCAGAAAGGGCCATGATGCAGGGCCGTGCCTTTAGGGATCTTTAGGGCTTAGGGCTTTAACCCCAAAGCTCTAAACCCTAAACCAAGCTGAAACCGCAGACCCGAAGCCCAAACATGCCATGAAGTAGTCTGAATTGTCCACTATCCTCTTTTCTCATGTCTAGGGTATAGGGTTTCGCACTAGTCTTCAAGCTCAGTCATCTTTTCCCCACCCAAGCCCCAAGACTGAAACATAGCAAGCACCAGTAGTCACCCACAAACCCCAAACCCCAGCGCCCAAAAACCGCAGCGCCCAAAAACCCTAAACCCTAAACCCTAACATTCCAAACCGTGAAGCCCAATGCCCCGATGCACAAGAATCAAGATCTATGGCATAAGCAATCTTCATAAGGGTCCCTTAATTCGCGAAAACCCTGAACCCTAAACGAACCTCT